AGAGAACGCAAAATACCACCCAATTAAAGCATCATCCACCCTCATTTCGTGTTTCTGCTTCTTCGTCAACAAAAATCTGAAAGCAAGCATTACGCGTATCAAAAAAGCAAGCGTTACAGTCGTTTGAATCGGAAAGCAAGCGTTCTGAATATACACTGTGGTCTTGTCCTGTCTCGTCTTCCTGAACATGAATGAAATATTTGCCACTGAATGTTTAATAACCAAGAACCAATCAATATACCGGTAATTGTCTTATGCAAAGCAATCCAGTTCGTTTAGACTGTGTTACCTTATGAGTGAAATAAATATTAAAATAATCTGATACGATTGGAGTTCAACTATATATGTATCTACTTTTCGGAAACATAATTGGTTAAACTATTAGTTGTACTGTTGTCTCCAAGCCTCTGGGAAAGAAACGAAAAGAATATAGGACCGTCAATATTCATTAATGACAAAATTTACTATATGTACTTGTACATATATTTCTTTAAGGAAACATTTCTGTCAGAATCTAATAGAATTCCGTCACTAGGCAATTACATTTTTAGGTCAGATCCCAAATGATTTTTCTAACAGAAATTCTTCAATAACTTACCCCACATTATACTGACAGAACTAATTGGTTCTTTTATCAGTACATAGAAAAGTACTTTAATTATAAATTATTAAAATAATAGTCTTACCAAGCAAACTGTGAACTGAAGCAACAACCCAAAAGTCTTCAAATAATTCATATTTGGTGTCTGGATGTATCGCTATGTCTAGTTCAAGTACTCATTTAAAAAACAAAATGTTAACGAGAATTCTTATACAATGGAACATTAACATGAGAAACCATAATACAATTTCATTTATAGCCCACGTGTAAATTTATAACATCCCTGCGCTGGTGTATGATTTCCTAAATATTTGATTGCAAATAGTTCAGTAATGATAATGCAAAACGGTATAATTACGGAATGCTTTGTACAATGAAATTTTGTAGCATCCTTTCTCGGAAATTACGAAATACAGATTCCCATCAGGCAATGTTATATTACGCGTTACTTTTATCCATCTGTCTAGAAAATTAATCTAGGATACATCATTTCACATCATAAACACTGACAATAGTTTCATATTTGCATTGTTTTAGTATGTTTTGATGTGAAATTCAATAAATATCAAATATTTATGTTCATTTTATAGATTTTTCAATATTTACTCACAAATGTCTGCAATGTTAACCATTCTAAGGCTTATTAATGAAAATACACGATCTCGATAGCCTCTACAAACGCAAGGTTTAACAAATACTAAATGTCTCCATTTATCATTTTAAACAAAATTAGCACGCCTGTTTGTCATGAAATTAACCGGAATGAAATAATGTTTATATCTATTGCTTCAATTATTCAGTCGAAATTGATACCATATTTTTTTTTCCTTTTTCGATTTATTTCATGTCGAATTAGTGAAAGTAAGGGAACCATAGTTTGCCAATGTGTAAGCATATCTGTTAGAACTTTCATCCGTGTCACTTCCAGCATTATAGATAAAGGTTATTCTATATATATACACTAACATAACAACAAAAGACACTTAATTTCCACAATGACAGCTTATAAAGCAAACAGTATTGAAACATGTTGCATAACTCATTGGGTACATGTGCACGGACTAAAACAATTATCCATCATTAACCTATGGTGCATGAAAAAATGTTTGCATACTCTTAATTAGGCTGTCCATAGATTTTATTATAGTACATGTATCTCCTAGGGTAATCCTATCCACAGAAGATTTTCGAAGTCAGCAAATTCCGTATACAATGTTTTCTTTGATTTGACTATGATCATATTTTCCTCATGTTTTAGACAGGAAATCTATGAAAGCTGAATCACAATTTTTATAACCTCTTTTCATTTTGACCTTATCAAAATAAAATATTAAAGATTAAAACAGTCCATGTTGTTTGTACAATAATACTTTACTTTATTAAAAAAAAAACAAGTTAATTAAATATAACACCACTTCCACAACAATGTTTTTAATGAACCCCAATTTTACAAAAAAGAAATTTTTGAAGCCGTTTGTCTTAGAAACAGACATAAAAATGTTTGAAGGCACAAAACATTTAAGATTTAAGTTGTGAATTCAACACAAAAAAGGCCAAACTCAGTTAGGACTTTCTTTTCTTTTTAGTGGTTTACTTCGAAATAAATATGTAAACATTTAAGGTATAAGACATTTTTTAAACAGAAGTAACGAAATTTAAAGTATTTCAATTGTAGAATGAATTATTGGTAAAACATCTACTAGTATTTATTAATTTATTTTCCTATTTTCTTTATCGTTTTATTTCTTCTATAAAACCTATTGCCTTTTTGCTATAAAAGATACATATTCTTTGCAATTATTTTCAGAATTATAGATGTATAACGAATGCATTGTACTTGTTACTTGAAGCCAAACTCATTTAATGAGCCAAGATCTCTTTTTTGAAATATAATGTTCGTACGAGTGTAAACAGTGCAGTGATGACGTTAAATTAACAATTTGAAAAACCAATATTCCGACACCTTATAGAATGCTTTACAAAACTCGTCTGCAGCTTAAAACGTTTATTTTCTTGGTAAAGGAATTATAAGGTATTGACTGCTTTCATGAGTGACACAATACCTTAAAGCGTTTAAATTGTTATAAGAACTCCACACCTTTTCTTTATGCAACTGAATTACAAACGTATATTTTTTGTTTGTTTTCAGCTTAAAAAATAAATGGTATCTTTGTTTATCGACGAACACAGACAATTGAGAAAAACTTGTAAAAAAAAATTTACTACATGTAGCACTGCTGCTGTTGGACTGCGTGCCATTAACCCAGTAACACGTGATTCAGAATTGTCATGATTTTAATGGTAAATTTTCACTGTAAATTTCTCATTTTTAATACTTCTTACTGAATAATAATCAAGTAAATATAAAAATATGAAGATGTGGTATGATTGCCAATGAGACAACTCTCCACCAGAGACCAAATGACATAGGAGTTTTCAATTATAGATCACCGTACGGCCTTTAACAATGAGCAAACCCCATACCGCATAGTCAGCTATAAAAGGCCCCAAAATGACAAATTTAATGTAAAACAATTTAAACGAGAAAACTAACGGCCTGATTTATGTAAAAACAATGAACGAAATACAAATATGATATACAGTAACCACTGAATAATAGGCTCCTGATTAGGGACAGACACAAACAGAATGTGGCGGGGTTAAACATGTAAACGGGGTCCAAACCTCCCCTATCTTCGGACAGCGGTGTAACAGTAAAACACATGAACAAACTATAAAAATCAGTTGAAAAGGGCTTAATCCATCAGATTGATACAAAGCAGAAAAACAAGCAACAAAAACATAGTCGGGCGTGGCAGGGTATCTATACATCCTTACAAAAAACATGACCCTGTGCAGTACCAAAAATCGACAGATTGTATAATTATCAGATCCCCTAATGCAAGCCACACCGTTTGAAAGTTTTTTTTTAAGTGTCTTTCAGTTTTAAAAAACTTTGATCATATTATATTAAATCAACACGTAAATCTTACGTTTCTTGTTATCAATTCTTATTTCAATATCATTTTTGACTACTAATCGAATAGAAAAGTTAAAAAAAAAAAAAAAGAAAAAAAAACGTGATTTCATTGCAATTTAGGTTTTAATAATATAACACATTGTAAAATCGAAACTTTTACGTCATCTTTTAGATCTGAAAAACTAAGTTTACATAATAATGGAATGATCGGTTTGAATTTTCAGATACACCAAAATCTAAGAGTGCTTTTTTTCAATATTTCTGCAATGTTCTAGAATTTTTGGATACTCAGAATATACTTGTGAGATTTGTTATAATCACATTTCGTCATTCGGTGTATTATTTAAGAAGGTGGGGGAGTGAATAATACACGGAATTACGAATTATATATATATAACTACATGTATAACAATTCTCAAATAAAAATAAGAAGATGTGGTATGAGTGCCAATGAGACAACTCTCCATCCAAGTCACAATGTGTAAAAAGTAAACCAAAGTATATTATGAGTATCCGACATAAATCATTATACTATAGTCAAATGAATATTTCAGTTCTGGATATATGCAATGGGTAACATTTCCTCTTCAATAGCAGGTCAACACTGAACAACGTTTCCATATAGAAGGCTTTTTTGTATTACTTACTAGGGCTCTGTTGACACGTCTAGATGTGAGTTTGGTCCCGGACATGACTTGGGAAACATTAATTGTCGAAATGCGCGTCTGGTGTAGTAAAATTAGTACAGTTAATGGTATTACTACCCCACTCTGCTGGTGGACAGTTATTCCCCGAGGTTAACACCAGCCCAGTAGCCAGTACTTCGGTACTTGCATGAAAATACGGATATTGTGTTAAAAACATTTGCTGATATAGAAATTCGAAATAATTCTAAATTAAGGAATGTATCTCCCTCATGCATAGCTCTGATTCCTTTTCCCGATTTGGCTATACGTTTGGTCCTTTTGGTTTTACCAACTATTAGGTTTTGGAATTTCAAATATTTTGGCCCCGAGCTTCACTGAAGAGACATAAATTGTCGAAATATACATCTGGCGCAGTAAAATTGGTACCGTTTATGTTATTAATTGTCCCGTGGATGTCCCCTTATTTCATTTTACATCGAAAATGTGTAAAGTTTTTAATCTTAAACGTTACAATAAATTAAGGTAACGCTATATAAGGGAAGGGAGTTGAAGTAAATTATTTCGATGAAAAGATAAAATAATAGCGTAGAAATATATTGCAACTGAACAATAAATTGTGCCTTTCTTGTCCCTTTTCGGGGTTTGTAAATGTAAATAAGTAATGCAACGATACAAAATTACAAAAGTTCTCTATTTCTACGGATTGAAAAATCGTTTTAACAGAGAGCAAACAATTATTTCTAAAATTAATACAAAACAAAAAATAACTTACCAGACATAAAACGAACACCACTAAGTTTAATTGACTCATTATGTGTAGAAGCCTCTGTCAAATTGATTGTATTTCTTGTCAAGTTTGTTCATCGCTGTTCTCTACATCAATAAGTTTTCAATTTCATGGTATTTTAGTTTTATTTAAGCACTGTATTCATAATATTACTAGCCTTATTGAAATTATATTGTATCATACCGCTTTAAATACACGGAAACAGCTTTAATTAACATAAATCAGGTTGATAGTTCCTGGAATTCCCTCGTCTCAGTTGGAAAATGGACTATTTAGTCATGTAATGGAAATCAATTAGCTGAAATCTGTTATGTTGAATGTGTTACAAATGACCATAAGAGATGCTGACCGATACATAACAAACAAAAAATATTCTGTGTTATTGATGTTTGTCGGCTTGATTTCTGATATATAAATTGTTATTAAACATAGCTTCAGCCGTAGGACATATGCTTCTGTAATCTTGCAGAATAAGTTTACTAGTATTGTTTTATTATTTGAAGAAGTCGGTATATTTTTTATCAATGGGACTCAGCCTGTCAAAAACAATGTTTCAGACAAGATGAAAATTAATTGACCCTTCTTTATTCAAAACTATTCTACTTCATCCTTTGTAAGTATTCCATTCTTATTCCCGTGTCGTCCCATTGTGGTCTCGTTGTAGCGTGCTCGCATCGAGTACGGACAGTCAAAGGGTTCGATCATCAATTGTATTTGATGCTTCTACACTAAGAACGCGGCATTAATTAGTAAGAGCAAAGACTGATCAAATCGGATAAAAAATAGTGTGTCAAAGTAGGGTGACATGTCTTCCTGAGAACTGTTACGTGAGAACTAGCGCGTTAAAAATCCGACTCAGCGGGTCTGTCTTGTACAAAGCGGGATTCATATTCATAACTTATCAACATATTCTCGTCTTGATATATGGATGTACCAATTGCCACTGGCCGTTAAATGGCCCTCTATCATTATCATCAAATTGAAGATTGCTGTCATTTCAAATCTATTGCCTTTTTTCAGTAACGACAACGTACATTTGTAAGTCGAAGTTTTCAATTATATCATTTTTGTATGCAATCTGTTATTAATTGCTTCTCCCTCCACGACCATTTTATAACATTAGATTTATGAATAATTAGGTCTCCCACACAAAATTTGAGACTTATGGTTTTTGCTCAGTTCTTCTTCTTCCTCTTCCTCTTCTGCCACTGTTAAATTTGAATTTGTCTGCACCCGTTCTGTCAGATTACATTAGGGTTCTACAATATGTTAGACTAACATGTTTAGTGGTGCAATCGGGGTTTTGTTTGTGCAATGGGGTTTATAAAGGGGTACTTTGATGGGCCAAAAGAAAGGGGGTTTACTATAGAACCCTATGGGATTTTTTTTTTTCATCTTCAAATGATTTTATACTTGAGAACAGTTAGTGATAGATACATATGGTCGTCAGTATTGACAATGGGAACATATGGCCTACTGAAAGATCAAAAGGTCTTTTGACCGTAAACTTTTTTTTCCAATTTATTCAATAGGGAGAGTTCTTAAGGGTTTATACTTATGGGGATTTGTTTGGGGGACTTCGTAACAGCATCCTGTTACAATCATTTCTTGTTTTACTAATTAATAAAAAACTTGTTAAAATTCAGATGTATTCGAAACAACTGCATGTGCCATAATTATATTATCAAAGTTCTGCTTTTAATACTTTTCTACATTACTATATACTTCTAATATTCAACATGTTTTAACCTCCTCTGCCATAACGTTCTTTAAACAGTAAATGACATGCTGCTGCTCTATACATTATTTTCCAATGGTCAATAGGTATTTCTATCTGTTTTTGTTTTCTTAGTTGCTTCTTTTTTCTCAATATGACTATTTATAATAACAAATTTTGTTCTCCCGCGCAAAGGACGAAATTCCTGAAATCTCCCGCTTGCCGGTCCGCTCCCGTGCGGGAGTATAGAATCTCCCGCTTTCGGATATTTTGACCTGGAATAACCCGCGTTCGTAATTCTCTGGCTTTTTCATTACTTTCAATAGAAATAAATAACCAATCGGCGATCATTTGAAAACTTTGGTCAGTAGTTTTTATGTTCGATATATAAGTAATCCAAATTCAGTTCTGCTATTTCAACTCCAACAAGATAGAGGGTCTTTGTCTTGACCAAGCGATAGTGTAAAAAAGAAGAAATAGATAACTGCAAATCGAAATGTCAAGCAGATTTGAATAAAAGATTTTCAATTTTTACGACCAAGTTCACTTGGCAATGAATCTTAAACTCACAACAAAATCAAAATATGGAATGTTATGAGTTATGAAACTCGGAGGTATTGAAAAAGGCTTTAAAAAACCCACCTTGTATAGATTATGACCATGAATTGAAGAAATAAAGTATTATTTTATAAACTATTATCCTGTTTTATCAAATTTTGCTATCTTTTTCAGAACTGTTGTGTTTATTTCCTCGTGTAATGAGAAGTCTTATTCGATGAGTGAATACATTAAATATAAATCAAAACAAATTGGTGCAATGACCCAAAAATTCAACATTGATGTAAGCAGTCAATTTAAGCACCATAATATAATTTTACATTATTTTAGCATTACTGTGTAACAAAATGCTATCCAATACACAGAAGAGAAAAAACATTTCAAAGATATTAGACAGGATTTAATATTCAATTTTATTCTTTGCAATGCATCCACTTTTATTTCCTTTGTAATCATAAGTATAAATGAATAGGTAAAAATGACGTATTTTTAGCACTTATTTTCCTGTACATCAATTAAAACTAAGTTGTTAGAACATCAAATTACCTTATAACAACAGCTATTGTACTTTGTTTGTAGGGATAGAAGGAATATATATTTTTAAAATGTAGGAATAGCAGGAAGACACCTTAGATATAATTGTTGTTTTTGTATATCATATGTTTTTCAAGTATTTTCAAAAACCAACCCTAAATATCAATTGTTCCTTAATCGAATTTGCCATACTCTTTCACCTTGCTATCATGGTTATACTTTTAATATTTGCACACATATTTAAGTTTCTTTAATAACAGACTGGTACTAAAGTTATATTATGAAGATTCACCTTTTTAAAGAAATATCACTTTTACATTTATTGGTATAATTATATAATATAAAAATAAGAAGATGTGGTATGAATCACAGGCACTTGTCTCAGAAATTTGTTTTCCTATATACCTTAATATAACTGTTATATTAAGGTATATAGGAAAATTTTTTTCTGAGACAAGTGCCTGTGGTATGAATGCCAATGAGACAACTCTCTACAAGAGACCAAATGATATAGAAATACAATAAAAAAAAATAGAACATTAACATAATGGAATATGTAGACAGCTCTCTCACAAGCAAAAACCCCTAACTGTAAAATATAAGGGCATACACTACAGGCACGGGGACACATTCTACTGCATCCACACAGCACAGTAACAAACCCTGCAGTAAATATAAAAATAAGAAGATATGGTATGATTGTCAATGAGTCCATAATAACATCTTGCAACTAAATGTTGGCAAGAGATCTAACACGTATGGATAAACTACGAAACTTTATTCTGAAGCTCAGTCACAAAATTATTATGCAATCATTTGTATTGTGTATTTTGTCAAGGTTTTCCCTCATACACTTCATTAATGGTTCATGTAAAGTAAAACGTTAATTTATATACATATACAGATATGGTGTATGATCGCCCATTCAACGAGAGACAATCTACCAGCGATCAAAAGACAAAGAACATCTACAAAAATGTGAAACAATTGTAACGATAAATTAAGGCAAATGCTACAAACAATTTTAGACGAAGAACAATTATGACAGACCCTAGTCAACGAAACCCCCTGAATGACATGCGTCTGACCTGGAACAGACTTATATAAGGAATGTGAAGGGGTTAAACATGTTTGTGATACACCAACCCTCTCCTTAGCTGGGACAGTGGTGTAACATCACAGCATAAGAGCAAACCATGTTTGATCAGTCCTAAGCACAAAAACAACTAACAAAGAGACGAAAGACACACAGTGACGATCTAAGAGGACTTGCAGTTGCTGAAAGCTATTTCAAAGCCCAGTTTCAAGTTTATACAAATAACAGTGTTTTCCTAGACTAGAATAACAATCAGCACACATCGAATTTAATATAAGTACGTCATAAATCTATTTTAATATCTTCTTGACATTTACACGAGTAGGATAACCAATCTTTGTAGGAAGTCACATTCGATATTTCTCCATTTAAAACCTATGTTTGTTTCTATTTCTAATTTATCAATTTAGCGTCAATACTTCCAAAGTTTATATTTAATTCAAACATTTTAATTTAATAATCAAAATTGAATAACAACGGTAAAATTCCAAACAAATTAGCTGTGTAGGAGTTGTTAACAGAAATACTCTTGCAATATTTATGTTACCATTCCGTTCCGTTCCGTTCCGTGGAGTACCAAGATATAATTACGAATGAAAGGAGTAACACTTTTTGTCTGACTTGCCTATTTCATATAAATTATTGATCTGGTTATTGAATGCATATCTAAAACACTTACCACTCATTTAAAAAAAGAGGTGTAAGACAAAAAATAGGAATCATACCGTCTTTTACATAGATGTTTGTTTCCGTTGATTCCGTTAAATACCAATTCCTCAGAGCAATTGGTACTTTGCGGAACGGAACGGAACGGAATAACAAATTTAGAAAGTTAAAATCAGAATTAATGTTTCTAATCATCGCCGGAAAGGACGACGGGAGGTATGTCTTCTTAGATATCATAATGAATGAAAGAAGTAAGACTTTTTCTCTGACCTGCCAATGCGTCAAATTCATGATAATTTATCAGGACATGCATGTATATCTACAGGATATTTCCCGATATTATACATTATTACACATTTTACATATGAAGATGAGATTTAGTATACAATTGTGTTATCTGTATATTGAAAACTGTAAACAGCGAAATTTAAAGTTTGTTTTGCTTTAAAGATTTTTCGAAATTTTGATAGATGCCTCCTATGGATACCTTAAATGAAATTCTGTTCCGTTCCGTTCCGTAAAGTACCAATAGCCTTTAAATCTATAGTTTTGAACGAATCGTTTTGCCTGGGGGTTAATACAATTTGGATAGATTGTGTTATTAACAAAGAGAAATAATGGAATTTTGTGAAGGTTCCTGCAACACGCATCGTCTGCACGGAAATTACATCATGCAAGTTTTTCCTTTGGAAAGAAATGTCAATTAGCTTTAAGAGATCTGACTTAATTTAGACAATTTGCAA